CCCCACCCCCCCTATGTGTTAAAGGGACATTTCACATTTCCTTATTTGCTTACCCTGATCTAGTTCTAAACCTTTATGATTTATTTTCTGGAACACAAAAGGAGATGTTTATCAGAATGCTCATACTGCCATATGCAGAAGTGTGGATGAGATTCAAGAGCTACTTCTGTGGTTTCTGGAGACTTGGAATATAGAACACAGTGGTTGAGCCAATGTTGTTGTGTTGAGCTGGTTGGGATGCTCAACCAAACAGAAATGTTTTCATAGCACCACAAGAGTCACAGGTGTTCACGCTTCTAGAAGTAATCACTCTATGAATGGTTCATTTATAGTCATTTGTCTCTGCATATTAAGCTGAAGTTGGAGACGGTTTAAAGGTACATTACAAGAAAGATGCTCAATTAGTAGCATTTGTGGCAATTGTGGCTTATTATCAAAAATGCATTTCATCCCTTGTTTTAAAAGTTTTAAAATCAGCAAAGCAATTTTATAAAGCACTTTCATTGTTCAGTTAAAACTTGTGTACTATTTAAGTTTTATATCTGTTTCAATCCTTATTTTTATAGTTATTTAGGTTTTTAAAGTTTATGGTGTTATGCCGCTATGTGGTAACGAAACATATATACCTTTACACACAAAAAAAGAAAATTAGTATGCCATTTTCTACATTTTAAAATCATTTTTAAACATTGTTCACATATTGTGGTGTTATATATATATATATATATATATATATATATATATATATAAGAAAAGAAGGGAAAAGTGGGAATTGTTATTTGTGGTAATTAGCACAATCCAGTCAGGCTTTTTTTTTTATTAACCGAAGGATAAGTCAGAATTATTATTATTATTATTATTATTATTATTTTGGGATAATTAGCCCATCATCAATGTTGTACAGATTATTAATTGTAATACAAACAACAAATAACATTTTTAAATGTTTTACATGAAATAGTATATAATATAATAATAAACATTTTAATAAAATAGGCCCACATTATTTAAATTCAAAAATAATAATGTTCATACAATTATCTAAATGTCATAATAATATGTAGCATAATATAATATAATACATTAAATGACTTAACCCACATGCCTTTTTGTTTTGTATGAAGACCTTTAACTATCTTTGTGTGCTTTACACATTTTTTTTTTTTTCTTTATTCTTTTTTCTTTACTCCCTAATTTTTCCTTATTTCATCCTTATGTGGATGGCAAATGTGATTGAAATTTAAACGGCACAATTATCAGGATATCTCAAATGGTTGTGATTAGATCAAATAGCCACAATCACTCGATTAATAATAATACAACAGGCCTAGTGATAATCAACATTAATGTCACAAATGACCAAGCTTATACTGAACCTGGAATATACATTTAAATAGAATTTAAAAACAAAATCACCTATAAAACTGACATAAACAGCCCATTAGTATGTGTTTCTATTCATGAAGACATGAAGAGGATAGCAGATAATGAAAGAGGTTATTTTTTATGGAAGTCTTAAAAGTAAAGCAGCAAAAGAGATGGACTAATTGTAAGGGTCTGAGAGAGGCTAAAATAAATTATAAATACATAAATAAAAACATTCAGCAATATTACAAATGAGTTACCATGTTTATGCCAAGAAATGTAGGACATTTTCCTACAACATACTGTATGTGATCAAGATATTTTATTGGCTGTCGACCAACAACACGAACCATTAACAAACCCAGACGGCAATGAAAAAGTTGGTTGGAAAGTCACAACATTTAACCCTAAAATCTCTTTTGTTAATAAGGATGTGCTTCCAGCAATACCTGACAAAATCACGCTGACCTCACAAGTGCACTGCATTGAAAAAAATTCAAAAGCTCTAAAACAATAATACCCTTTTCAAATGACAGTATTCAACACCCACACAGTAAGACCTCATGGCACAGTGTGAACCAAATTCTCCTCAAAGCATTCATCCTCCTGTCCAAAGCTTGCATTGATAACTTGATGTCTTTATCCCACATACTAAAAGGCCTCAGACCTTTAGGGCTTCCTGACTCAAGGGACATTGAGAGAGTGATGCTGAAAAATCATCAAAAGTCTTTATCTTTGTTTAGCTGAGTGCAGCACGTCCAAGCGCTTGCTGATAAACTGGAGCTCGGTGCTGTCATGTGAAGGCAGCTTGTTAAACAGATGATATTCCAGCAGAGATCACAGAAGCTACAGCAGCAGGATACTGTTCTACAAACGGCTTAACCACAGTAAAAGCCAGAGACAATATCATTATACATACTTAATCAACACTGTGATTTACACCCCTGCCCATATGCAGGCCGAAAAGCAAGCCAAAAGATGACTTTACAAAAAAACGTAATTAAGTGTTGCAATATATGATCGTACAGATGCTTTAAAAAAGTCGCGTGCGCCCACTTTGCAGCCATCGAGCTATTCGGGTTATACGATTCTTGTGCTTAAAACCAAAGATGGCAGTTTTGGAGTCTGTGTCTTATGCTGGTGACACTCTGATCATGACAGGTCACAGTTCAGTAAACGATGTGGGCCTTCCTGTGAGAAGTGCCCCCCTGTGAGTGGGATTTTGTTAGATGTGCCAGCTACCTTTGAAGCTCTGTTAGGCTGGGTTGGATATTAGTTTTAATTTAATTATTCGGGTTATACGATTCTTGTGCTTAAAACCAAAGATGGCAGTTTTGGAGTCTGTGTCTTATGCTGGTGACACTCTGATCATGACAGGTCACAGTTCAGTAAACGATGTGGGCCTTCCTGTGAGAAGTGCCCTGCCTCAAAGACTCTAACATGATCAGTGATGTGAGTGGGATTTTGTTAGATGTGCCAGCTACCTTTGAAGCTCTGTTAGGCTGGGTTGGATATTAGTTTTAATTTAATTACGATATTCTTATCTTTCATGCAACCACTCACAGCATATAATCAGATTACGGAGGCAACGGCAATTAAAATCTGAGAACTAACAAGATGAGCCGCCCTTCACGCTTGGTTTGTGAGAAACAGTGCTCAATCTGGTGTCAGTTAGTCAGCTCTGTTGCTATGGAAGTGTCCAATGAATGCATCTTCTAGAGACATGTCTGTAAATAAATAGCTCATACATTGCATCATTGATCTTTCGTCTATTAACTTATCTATTTAAAGATTGCTAAAATTTTGAAGTAGTTTACTTGTATCCCATAACAAATAACTAAATGAATAAATAAAAAGTCCTGTACTTTAGCGCTGTATTAAATGAAACAAAATTAAAATTTAATAAAAAGTACATTAATTATGTGTTTACCCACATTTCATTAACTGACGTCAGTAAACATGGGAATGTGTTGAATTATTGAAGATGCATTCATTTTAAATTCCAGGGGGTATTTCAATAAATATATGTTAGGTCAAAGGAGTTTGGCTGACAAAAACAGTCCGGGAATAATTGCACTGTAAAACTCAAGATTTAGAGGAAAACAATTGCTTTAAAAGTTAAAATAATAATAATAATAATAATAATAATAATAATAATACAATAAAGGCTTAAATAGACTTCTTTTTTCAGTTATCCAACTACTAAAATAATGAGAGTATTACTGCCCAATATATAATTTTCATATTTTATGGCACATCCTATATGTGCTCTATTCTCCAGCACAAAAGTAACATTCAAAAATCTAACACAGTCATAAGAAAAGCATGCTGGGAGCTAGAAATCTGTTTAAACTGTTTGCTGTGTTAATGTAATCGGTTACTTAGTTCACATAGCTTTTTTTTCTATTAAGTGCAATTAACTTTAAGTCATATTTAAGTGAAAAGAACTTGTTTCATTTAGTAAATGTCATAGCTCTGCCTCTAAAATATGCACATTCAAAGACTTTGCAAAATAGGCAATATACTGAATGCTGTTGACATGAAAAATCATGCGGTGAGAACAGTGTCCTGCAGACACAATCGTCATCTAACTCAGTTTTAATCAACCATACAATTCTTGCATAATTATTTTTCATGCAGATTTCATGACCTCATATTAATTGAGAGTCTTTGTGCTTTTAAACATTCATTTGTCACACCACGGGAGTATTTAAGTAAACATCAGAACCGATTACAAATGGTGAAATGAAGAAACAGTGGGCAGTCTCCAGCACCTGCAATACACATTTCCATATGCACACACACACATATGCTACAGTTGATTTTACAGTACTTTTTTTTGGGGGGGGGGGCACACTGTGATATATTGTGACACTGTGTCTTTTGTGACTTATGTTATACTCACTAACACACAGAGAAAAAAAGAAACAAATCCTGAGATTTCATCAGAATAAGTGAGATGCTGGTGAGGGCATCTCCACTTCTAATCAGACAATACTGCCTTTGTGAGGCTGCAGAAATTGCTCTGAAAGACTGCCATGGCCATCGGGGGGAAATGAAGCATGGCGGGGGTACACTCTCCAGGCATGTCAGTCCCTGCTCCCCCTCCGATGCACAATCAGTCAAGGAGAATTAAACGAGCAAGGCACTGTGTACTTCTGCATGATTGATGGTTGTCAACAAGAGCAGCCCAGGGCAGAATAATCACCCTCAAAGACTCTTGTAGATTTCGATGCCGAGAACGATCCGCCCACTTCCCACTTGGCGGATGATCTTAGACCTGTCCTGACTAGCGATTCTAGATCAGGCACAGAAGGCCAGGGCAGTGGTGCCAAAAAAGATTTAAAAGAATACTCAGGGCTGTTTTGTTGGAATGAAAATCGTTTTAATCCTGTCAATCTTATGAAGATCTCAATCAATGATCTCCCTGGCAGCATGGAATTATTCTCAAATATGGCAACCGTGTAACTGAAGTTTTTCAGAAATAAAATTCTGAGCCAAATGACATCCAATGCAAACTGGAAATAGCAGGGTACAGATAATAATTATTTAATATTGTTTGGTTGCACGGACAAACCTTGGAACTGAAAAAAAAAGGAAAGTCTGAAGATACACTTTATGTAACGAGGGCAAACGTAAAGACAAGTGAATACAAAACATTATGAAGCAACTTGAAAACTATTGAAAATACAAAGAAACTTAGAATATAAAGATTATTATTACTTTTTATTACATTTGCGTGCATTGTTTAATTTTTTTTATCTGCATTCAGCTCAGCTGAAAATGCTTAAGTACAAACATATGTACAAATATTTACCATGCCAATAAAGCACCTTGAAAAAAGAAAAGGACAGACAGACACTACAAATAGTTGATATGACATAAAGCTTGCTGAAACGAGAAATAGCATTGTTTTCGCAGCTCTCAACCCCCTGCGGTTAAACAAATAAAATTTACACTACTGAGTGAATGGATGCCTTAACATTGCCCTCGTAAACCTGCTAAATTTCTTTGATCCTCTTTCTAATCAGACACAATCTGCTTTTTAGAAACTGGAAATTGTATTAGGCAATTTCATTGTGAAAAAATCCTGGATGGCTCCCCCGTCTCTTGCTGAGACTAAGCAGGCTCTCCAAAAAGCCAGTTCATACCCGCGCATATGGGAGACGGAGATGCAAGCAATAGGCCTGCAAATCCTGCCAGTATGACAAATCCGCATAATGCATTTTCCCTCTTTTTGAAGCCATTCAATTAATTGGGCCATTGGAATCAGAGAATGGAGAAGAATTAGAGAGCTTGTAGACAGATGCGAGGATCTCTGCAGGCCAGGAGATGAAAGAAACAGCATTGTGACCATATCTGAGTGGCTGAAGTTTAGTGGGTTCATGTATATTTGGCTTTGTTACATAAAAAGGCCCAATTTTGGATCAGACCATATGGGAGAGATGGAAATAGATTTAGTCTCTTGAGCCAAGAGGGAGCCAAAAAAAATTCCCCAGATCGACTTGACTCACTCATTATCAAAGTCTCTCAAGTGGCCCTCTGCCCTCTTTTATTTAGGAAGCGGAGGTGATAAAGATTCCACTTTTGCTGAGGACAGTAGCCCTTAATGCTGACACCAGACCAGTTTTACTCTTCTATTGGTGAAGGGTTAGACTGGGTTCCAGATCTGGTCCAAGATCGACACACAGTGACACAGACAACTCTCAAAATAATGATAATTTACGCAGCTTCCAAAAAAAAAAACTGATTTGAGAACTAAATTGCATATGCAATAGCTATATTATGCTTCTAAAACATAATGCCATGCCTCTCTTAAAAACAATTTAATACATTTAGTTTAGCATTAGGGCAGGTATCAATAGGTATAAACCTTTTATATATCAATTATAAAACTATTATTGCAAATAGTGTTACAATTTTAATTAGTGTTAGTTTTCTGTTTTAATACATTTTACAATGTAATTTATTTCTGTGATGCCAAGCTGAATTTTCAGCATCATTACTTTAGTCTTCAGTGTCTCATGATACTTCAGAAATCATTCTAATATGCTGATTTGCTCCTTAAGAAACATTTATTTCAATTATTGAAAACAGTTGTCCTTCTTAATATACTAGAAACTGATACATTATTTTTCAGGATTCTTTGATGAATAGAAAGTTCAAAATAACATTTATTAAAAAAAAAGCAGTGTGCATCCGTGCACATATACTAATGTGTGTGTGTGTGTGCGTGTAGGATTTGAATCTGCAAGAATTATGTTACAATTTTAATTAGTGTTAGTTTTCTGTTTTAATACATTTTACAATGTAATTTATTTCTGTGATGCCAAGCTGAATTTTCAGCATCATTACTTTAGTCTTCAGTGTCTCATGATACTTCAGAAATCATTCTAATATGCTGATTTGCTCCTTAAGAAACATTTATTTCAATTATTGAAAACAGTTGTCCTTCTTAATATACTAGAAACCGATACATTATTTTTCAGGATTCTTTGATGAATAGAAAGTTCAAAATAACATTTATTTAAAAAAAAGCAGTGTCATCCGTGCACATATACTAATGTGTGTGTGTGTGTGTGTGTGTGTGTGTGCGTGCGTGTAGGATTTGAATCTGCAAGAATTTTTTTTTTGAAAAATCAAACAACAGGCCAAAAAAAGTCAATGCAACAGTCAACAGTCTTTTGAGGTGATTTACCTGTATGTGAACTCTTCCACAATTTGAACCTAATTTGATTTGCTACACGCTTCATTTACATACCAAATTGCATAATTAAATTATAAACAATTATATACATGATAAACTGAATAATTATTACAATAAAATTATATTATCATAAATACCTTGCCCTACATTAGACATTAATGTTAGATCACCAGGGTTATTTCCCACTGAAAGTAATTCTGTGCACTCCCATGTGGAAAAACTGCTAACTGGAGTCTACGCATGCGAGTTGTTTGTGATTTATTTTCCATTTGACTTCTTTAATTAAAATGTGTCATTAATTTTCCCTCTTTTACACTTGTATTATCGCGGTTTAATGGGAAGATCAGGGTTGTTCTCTTGATACTGCGGTAAACAGAATGAAAACATGATGCCAGGCCTCTAAAATCTGATATATATTATGTGCCATCAGTTTAGGAATAAACAGGTATTTAGAGTCACAAGCACTGGGTACAGAGGGATTTTAACAAGCTCAGCCACAGCATGATTGCAGTGGCCTTTTTATATGACACAGTTTATGAGACGACTTACTGGAAGAAAGCACTCCTCCTCAATGGATTTTATTTGCAATGTATCACCCACAATTATTGAATGACATATTGAGATGGCTATCTTTTGATTTGACAGACAGGGCACCATATATTTTAATCCGGTCTGATACTTTTATCTGGATGAACTTGTGTCTGTTCACAGACTCACAGGAAACCAACAATGCTGTGAGGAAATTCTTGATTTAATCACTTGCAATGTGTGATAGAAACCACAGGGGGCTAGATTATGTTACTAATGACTGCGAATATCCGAGATGTCGCATGTGCCTTTGTATTTGCAGGTGTCTAATTATGAATCACTTAAAGTCCCCTTCATTAATGCCTCTTGGATGGTGAATATCATTAGCAAATATTTTAATTCAAAGTGTGGGTTTGAGAAAGTCAGTTTGGAATTATAGCTATATGTTTATATGTTTGAAAGACATGTTTCCAAAATCACATTCTCTCAAACAGCCAAAATCTGGTAGCCCCCAGGGTTGTAATTATGTTATCCAAGGGATCCCTTGTTCTTTTGTTTCACAAGAGATGCACTTGCAGTGTATGACAACATTTGAAAACATATAATTTATCCACTGACACACCGAAATCTAAATCTACAATTCCTGATTTGACCGCAACCTCCCACACATATGATGCTTCTGAGAGTTTTTTTTTTTTTTTCTCCATTTCAAAAAAACATATGCAGAAGCAGATCGCCCCATACTCATGAGCTATTTTATGTTAATAGCTCATGATCAATTCATGAGCAATTTCTAGCTAGGCAGCCTTGTTAGAGTACTTTTCAACTTCCTCAAATTACCTCCAAGACACTTTGAATGCAGTTGATTATTCTGAGGTCATGAACCTTCAACACTGAGTCAAGTTAATAAACCTGTTGTGCTCTAGGGAAATGGGGTCAATGCTTTAATCAGCCATACACACATTCAGTTTTTTTTTTTTAGATAGATAGATTGTGACAAACATTGTGAAAATCCACTCAAGGCTACATTTCTAAACCTAGTTTCCCTATTTTCTAGTGCATTTATAGATTTTTACCAAGCCTTGTCCACACAAATAACTGTAAATCATGAGTTGATTACTATGTACCATAATTTGTGTACCTGTATCTAAATGGTGAGTTAAAACATTATAAAAGTCCAGGACTGTGGTGCAGAGATCTGTACACATGCTCAGGACATGTATACAAGCTGTTGGCTCACAGACCCAATTTTGAGCCCAACCCAGATCATGTCCTGAAGTCACTCTCCCTCGCTCACCCCTACTTTCCTCACTACACTTTACTCATGTAAAAAGTAAAAGGACCAATAAAATAATACAAAAGAAGGCTGGTGCAGTTGTAGCCATTGGTGGACGAAGCATCCCAGCAGGCCCTAAATAGTGTTTGTAATGTTTATCTGTGACACACAGAGCACAGTAGAATTTTCTTTCATCCCAGCTTGAGATACATGTTTTAAAAATGTCAAAATACTGGTGAATGAAAATAAATATCATTGCAAGGTCAGAAGAACAAAAATAACATTGTTACAGTCATTCTGTTTGGACTGATGCATTGTCCACATTGATGAATTTGTATCATTTTATCCAATTTTATGTACATTTATGTGTGTATATATCTATACATACTATGCTTTAATATATGTTTTAATAGGTTAGGCCAAAAAATAACACTCTTAGTATTATTAACACTGCT